CAGTATTCTTTGTTTCTTTTTTCCCTTATTTTACATATTTCTGGGTATCTGAATGAGAATAAATTATCCTGAATAGGAATTTATATCTTTGGGTATATATGTTGGAAATTTTTATATGAGCTGTTGTATTTGATTTTTAAAATTGTATCAAATGAAAAATCCGTAAAACTCAATAAAATTGTATGATCCAAATGGATCTAAATTTTATCTCAATTTATATGACGTGATATGAATAAATGTAATGAATAAATGTAGAGCTTGGAAGTAAAGGTGAATTAGTTAATGGAATGTCCAAAAAATTATTATAATGGCTAATTTCACTTCCTTATTAAGAAAATCTTATTTCTATAAATAATAAAATTAAAGAATAGCATGTCTTATTAGTTGTTACTATATAAAACTTGAATAAGGAGAGAAAAGGCTAAATTCTAATACTAATTATATTTGTTTTTATAAGTTTTGTCATTATTTTTATTGAAGATCTTTGAAAATACTTAAGTAATATATTGATGATAGAGACTTAAATATGTAATATATTTATTTTATTAAATTTTAAATTTTAAATTTTATGTATGTTAATCCATAAAATTCTAATAATATACTCATGCAGCATTATCGAAGATTAATGCAAAACCTGATGCAATTATGGTCCTGCATCATTTAACCCACAGAATGACACAAATTGCAGTTGTAGAATTGATTCTCTACTAATGGGTACTCAGAAACAATAAAATATGTCATCTTGTCATGTAATTATTAGAGAATACACTGTTCCTTGGCAATTTGGCAGGAGTAGGCACAAATCAAATCAGCATGAGACGTAACGTGAGATGCTATCAAATTAGGAAATATGGCACTGACAAAAGTAGCAGATATTCTACCTAGACTTCATTTAAAAAAAAAAAAAAAAGAGAGTAAAAAACAGAATCTCCATGGACAGGGCCGTAGGAGACACGTAGACAGTCTAACAGACGAGACACTGATCAAGACGGCTGCAGGCTACAATCACACGCCTTCATTCCCACCAAAGTGTTTTACAATTTGTTTTATTTTATTTTATTTTATTTTGGGTTAAATCCAATATCACGATTATCATCTCAGCCACCTTGTTCAATAATAGAATCGAAAACCTATCATGTAGTCAATTCATAATAGTAATGAATGAATGATAAGATAAGTTTTTAATATTAAGTTTTTTGTTATATTTTTTAAACATATTGAAATTATTTACATGTTAATTAAAAAAATAAAAATAAAAATTTATAATATTCAAACACGTAATTTATAAGAAGTGAATAACCTTAATTCAAGAAACATGTTACTGAATCAAAACAAACCGTTCAAAAGTTTTTTGTTATTTAATTATTTATATTTTATAATTTAATTTAACTTAAATTATAAAATAAAAAACTCACCAAATTGTTAACCAAAAGACTCTAATTCCATATACCAAATTCCACCGTTTTAGTGAAAAAACAACATAGCAAATACCTAATGGTATAACATTAGGTTCCGAGGGATTTGCTAAGGTTCAAATCAGAACTTACAACTAAATTTCATACAAATATAAACGAGTCGCGAAGGAATTGCAAGTCACCTCTTTCTCTCCATCATGGTCTTTACACGCTGCAGAACACGAACAAACTCATGAAACGAAGTAAAGTCAAAAGCAGGCTGACTACTGTTCTGATTTGCAGCCATTTTAGAACTTGTTTTAGAGGGAGTGCTTGGGTTCTGACACATTACCAAGTCAAAACCGCCAAACTTCACATACAGGCTCTCAAGCTTTTTAATTGTTAGCTTCTGAATGTCTTCCATCTCCACCAATTCCCCAGTTTGATTCGTTGTCTGCCACCATCTCCTGAGGATCATTCGTTGAGCTTCGGATGTCTCTACAGAGACAACACCCTTCAAACGAATGCCTAGGCGATGTAAAGTAACTTCAACCCCACCAATGCCACTGAAAATTGATATTACTGTTAGTCCACCTGGGAACATCGACTTCAAAACAGAGAGATGATACCCCAGAGTGTCTATCTGAAAACAGTTCTTGAGGAATTGGAGCCTTCCGATTGAACTATTCTCTGCAGCTTGAGTGAAGTCCGTTGGGTAGCCTAGAATGCGCTCCCACTGTTCAGGCTCTAAAGGAGCCAGTTTGTGCCGGCCAACCCATATCAGATTCAACATTTTGCAATTATACAGGAAATGCCTCTGCCGATCTGGTGGGAGCTGTCCTTGAGAATCCATCAGCATTTTTCCAAGCCTATCACATAGCTGTGGTATTCCATTAGGTTCAGTAGAGATGCAGCTCAAATGTCTTCTTGTATCCCAAAATGGCCACCAATTCTTTGTATGCGGTATGGCATCCTGTATGGTCATTGGCGGCCTTGGAAGGATATGAAACCTATTCGTAGTGGGAAGATTATGTATGTAGCCTTCTCTCCTAATCAATGCTGAGAATAACTGAGTATCCACAAATTCAGGTTCAATCCCATACAAAAACTTTGAAATTTTGGCCCAATGGTCAAAAGACAGATTGACAACATTTCCGTAAAAGAAATATGGAGGTCCAGCCACCATTGTCTCGACACTCTTTCCTGAATTGGATTTCAACGCCTTGGGAATTCCTGATCTAGCAATATCAGGTTCTACCTTTTCTTCTATATCTACATCCGGAGGTTCAAGGAAAAAACCCATCTCATCCATATACTCCTCATCTTTTGGCCTTTTCTCTTCCCAAATTTCATCATAATCTAATTGGCTGGAGTGAGAAACATCAACTGGGAAGTCATTGACGTTTTCTACTCTTGGCCTTTTGCCTTTGCAAGATATCTCTAACTCAATGCCCCTTGAATGAGCAGCATCTAAACCAGAATCCTCTGTTTTAATATTTTCAGTATCATACAAGTAACATCCTGTGCTGTCATTTTGTCTATTAGAATTCTCTGAGGCTCCTGACTGCCTCATAGCCAAAGATGCCAAATTAAACTGCACAAACGGTATAGAAGTTCCACCATAAAAACCAAGTTATTAAAGACCTAGAGGCACCTAATTAACAAAAATTTTGCATTAGAAAATTTATATCTGATAAGTAGAATAAACAAACCTTCTCACTATCAGAACAATGAATACGACCTGTAAGTATTGAATCGGCAAGCTCTAAAATTGGAATTTCAGCACCTGCAAGAGAACAAAAGACAAATAATTCAAAGGCCCAAATGAAACAGAACAGAAAAGGTAGCTCATATTAACTACAAGGGACATCAAGATTTCAAATACAGGGTTTCATCTTACAGTTGACAACAGTTTTGAGGATTACAAGAAATGCACATCTTTCAATTTACAAAAGTGCATGTATGAAATGAAATTTTGTATGTCACTGCAGGCAAAAATATATGATGAGCCTATAGTTACTTCCGACCAGGCAAGTCTCCTGTGGAGAATGTGATATGCAAGATCTACCAGTGAAAAAAATTCTGTAACAGTAATTGGTAGTATCTTTTTCCATCTTGATTTCAGAGGCAGGTAGCATCCATAACTATGAACTATACAAAGTCATGTGAAAACTTACCAAATTTCTCAATCGCTAATGAGATTTCACTCTCAGAGAATCCCATTTCAAGCAAATGAAGAGTTTTATCCATAGTTCCAAACAAAGCTTCATTAGTAACACCCTGTAATAATGCAGTCAGATGAATGTTTGCTACTGTTAAGACATAATTGTATTAGGTGCCATATAACTGAGAAATTGAGTAAAACTATAGACAACATGGAAACTTGTTATGCTATAAACAGTGTAATACTTGACATGGTGTTCGCTTTTTACCCTTTGTCCTTTTGATAAGTAACAGCTATTTTAAAAAACAAAGGAATACCCTGGTATATGCCTTGTAAAGAAGAAAGGCAACACAAAAAAGGGAAAACTATTGGAGGACAAGACAGAAAAAGAAAGGAGCAAGGGAATTAACAAATCTCATAGGAAGGAGTTGATCGTGATGAACTGGCATTCACCAAGAAAAGATTGAAGAGTATTTGCTTTGGATCACCTAAAGATAACTGCAGACCCTTAAAATTTCAGATTTCCCTCTTACAACAAATAAAATGTTGACAGTTTAGAAGAAATCCAAAAGTTGAATTACCATTGCGCAAACCAAATTTCAATCCTGTCCCACTGTCTCAAAGATATTCACAAAGATGATCAAATAAATTATAAATATAACATGAAAATGCATAAAAGGAAAAATGTTAATAGAAGAATACGACCTTGAAAACCTACTAGATACCATCAAGAACTAGAAATTTTGACTAGCCAAATATAACGGAAAGGAGCCAAAAGACAAAGACTATACCATGGTATTTTTTTTAAATTAATACAATCCCATTTTTTATTAAGTAATTAGATTACCGGAGCAAACAATGTTATTAAACCAAATGGTAAGGAGGGAAACAATGATTGGAGACCTGATCCCTCTCTTCATCATCACCAGACGAATCATCTATTTCATTCTCAAGTTCTTCTGCTATCTGAGCAGCCGTGATGAAGTCCACTAATTCATTTACTGGGGCATCTTCACCTAATATTCAGCAATGAAAATCAAAAAGAAAACACCCTTACATTGTAATAACAAAAATATGACTCACAAATGGAATAAAATACAAAACATTGTCAGTTCATTCTCTAGTAGTTGTCTTATCTGTGAGAAGAAAAGTCACATATTCACACTTGTTGAATGGGAGCAATGTTGAGTCCCCAAGATGTGAGAAAGAAACTGAACATAACTTGAAATAACAATGAAAACTTCATAAATTTTCTACATACCAAGTTTGTTCAATGCAAAATCAACTTCATTCTCAGAGAAGTTCATCATTAGTAAGGATGCTCTTTTATCGACATAAAACTCGTCAAATTCATCAGGCTCCTGAGGAAAAAAGGGGGAAAAAGAAAAGGAAGCAATGGAGAGGCCTGAAGATTGAGCCGAATAATGGAATGTAAGATATCAAACGAAATAACAGTAACACTTGGAAATAAGCAATCATAAGTTTTCTTCCAATAAGTTGAAAGCAGAAATGAAACTTGCCTCAAAACTTTGAATCAAAAGGTTACTTCCAACAACTTAGATAAATTACTTTACAATCTCAACAACAAAATTTTGTTTTCACTGAAAATTCAAGATTATTAAGACATGACAAACTTTTTCCAAGATTAATTAAGCTTTTCAGGTTAACATATAGAACAATAAAAGGATAACCATAAGAAAAACAAAAAATAAAGTGCACGGGGAAAAATATAAATAATAATTCTGTGCCTATCATGAAAGCAAAATTTACTAAGATAAGTCTCTTGACTTGTACAAGATTAGTTACAGAAACTAAGAAAGGACTGCATTCACTATATATCAGATTCTTTATGGTGCATAACATTACCTCTTTTGGTTGAATAAGTCCAGAAGTTTGAGGATAGCTTACATCCTTGTTACCAAACAAGCCATCCAAAGAATCAGAATATTGAGTTTGAGCATCCTATTGCATTTACAGGAGCGTTACTGTAAAAATTTATCAGAAACAACTGACAAAAAGTTCATATAACTTGATAAAACCTATTAGCCACTGACAAAGGGATCTATTTGACAGGAGACGGAAACCAACCAATTTCAACACTTCTAATCAGGGTTTGTTTAGTCAACTAAAAAGGTGAACATTGCCACTAAGGGTAGAAAAGGAGAATACTATGTCATAGTTCTCACAACACTGGTTAAGCCAACTAGCCAAGATCAGTAGTTACATTTCACTATTAAAAATTATAGGTTCAGATCAACCAATAGAAAAGGAAAAAAAAGAGGGAGGGGGGGGGGGGGGGACTGCCAGAAGTAGGAAATGATCAGGCTTAATGAATGAACACAACAGGAAGTGGTAGATCATTTTTAACACAGTTCCTATAGAAGATAAATCATTATTACTTACAGTATACTGCAAAAGCCTCTCGAATAACAAGTCAATGTCGTCTTCACCTAGATGTAAAAGAAAATACTTGCCAATGTTAAAATTACTGATAAATTAGAAAAGTGGGAAAACAATTATAAGCAGACATAATCCGGGAAAGCAGGAGAAGCCAAAGTGGGTATCTTTAAGGCCCACTTCAACATAAATACACTAGGATAAAATGAAATCGAGTTTATGTTTTGTGATCCTGTACCATTTTCTTCAATAACCTTGTCAACAAGAGATGGTAAAAATCCCATCCCAACCAAAGATGATCTCATATTGCTTCCAGATGAACTAGCTACATTTTCCTGAAATCAAGAAACATGAAAAGGTTAAAAATAAGGACCCAAGAACAAAAAAGGTGGAAGGGAATTAGGGTCTAAAACTGTCTCTGAGCACATAGTTAGCAGAAGAAATAAGAGCCATCTGACAGAGATCAGAACTAATTTATGGGTTGCACACTTTTAATGAAGCCAACTCTAGCAACCAATCCGAAGATCCATTTCATTGGAATACTCATGGAAGGCCAATAGAACTGTATATTCACTTAAATAAATCAAATATATACTGCACAATTTAATCTTTTATTAAAATCAAGTAGTAAAATGCATTTGAAGTAGCTGATAAAAAAAAAAAATGCATTGTGCCCGTAAAATTCTATTTTCTTGTTTCTTAATCTCATGAATTTTATTAGATAAGAAGCTTCAGAGTTATAATAGCAGCATGCGGACTACCAGCAGCCTGCCAAGTACCATCAAATAATTCAACTTCTAGCTATAGCCTATAGGTTCTCATGAGTCTACAAAATTTACTTAAAATTACTAATTTTTTTACTAGAAGTCTGGGAAGTACTCAATCTTGGACAACTTGATTCTACTGCTCTCTGAAAAATATTAAGATGCACTTTCGGATAATTCCATCACTTAAAGCAAAAACTAAGAAAACAAAACTCATTATATATGATAAAGCTCACATTACACAAAAATTCATGGGAAAGGGATCCATACCCCAGCATGTCTTGGATATGGGGTCTCTACTGGGATGTCATAGTCCAGTGGTTCTTCCTTTACTTTTTCTTTGTGTCGTGAATCTGAGGAATTCTTTCCATTTGAATACCCTGCCATGACCTAAACAGAATATGCTTATATGAGTATAAACAGCAGAAATAAGCAGCCAACAGTCTCTTAATATAAGTTAATAACTAATGCTTATTAGAAAAACTTTTAAAAGATCACTACCGAGCTCAACTCCTATATAAATTATGCATTTCTAACTCCAAGCTAATTGAGAGACAACCAGAATCACAAGACCAGCCAAGGAGTTGACATTGTTAAATTCCACTTCAGTTTTAGCAGGGCAAAGGAAATTAATAAATACTTATGTAAAGGCACAAAGCAGAAAGATCGTTCGTTACTTTCGATTTTCGAAAAAAGAATACTGACAAAACCTAACAGATTCGTAATCTTTTCCTGCTCAGCTTTCTCATCCACCAAACAAATGCAGAATCAAAAGGATTGCCAAGCGAAGCCTCCTCGTATGTTGTTTTTGAATCGATGAGTTAAATTGAAAAAAGGAAATGAGTGTCAGTGTGCTTAGATTAGAGCATTTGCATGTAAATGATAACTACCTGACCGGAAACTCGGCAGACTTCACCGGAGAGCGCAGCGGAGACTTGCAGAGACTCTGCCGGAAAGCAGCGGCGCGTAGAGCGCAAGCAATTCCCAGTGAAATTTCCCCGCCTCTACATTGACCAGTGCTGAACACGAAGGCAGAAATGTTTATTCCCGTATTTTGTAACAATATTTTTCTACCCACCTCTCCGCTTCAACTCAAGATTTTTCATTTTTTTTATGAAAGAAAATTTATTACTAAATTATTTAATTAATCAGCTAACCATATTTTTCTTTTTACGAGTTTTCTCCTTTTTTTCCTCACAAATTAGAGTTATCAGTTACAGAGACTGTCTGCTACAATCTAGGGGAAAGTAAATAATTCTTAACAGTAGAACTTTAAATCTGGGTCGTTCGTACAACACACTCGCGACTTCTCACTGTGATGCGATCTAAACCGTTCACGTGTGAGCCACCGGTGCAATACAACTTAGCAACCGGCGATGGTAAAATATTTTACTTGGACTGTTCAGTTTGAGGAAAATGGGAAAAAGGGGAAGAAATGGGGGAAGCTTTTTATTTTTTTGCATTTTTTATTTTTCTTTCTTACTAATTTTAACATATCCAAAGGAGAGAACCGAAGAGGAGAAAAATGGAAAAATATCTAGTGCAGATTGGAGTTAAGACTATAAGTGGAGGATCCTCATGTGCCGTCCTTTAATCTTCCATTTATACGAATCCACGAAGCTTGTAATGAACAATAATACGTGTAAGCAAGACGGAAATGGTGAAGTAAAAATGCAAATATGTTTTGATAGCTGACATTCATAATAAAATGGAAGTATCATAAATATATTGCATTGCAAAAGGCAAGGGATCGTACTGTACTTCCACCTGAGTTCAATGGTGAAAAATGTTGTTAACAAAAGAAGACATTGGTGTAGAGTCTTAAATCGAAACAATTTTTGTAAGTATACCAAATTGGTTAAAAGAGGACAAACAAAAGCTGAACTGAAGCAAGTATTTTGCGCATCAGACCTGAAACGAGTACAATATACTGCTGTGTGTATCAATCCTGCACCAAAAACTCCAGGAATAAAATATGTTTCAGCTGAAATTAACTTCAAGTTAAATCAGAAACCTCCAGGTGATTAATTTTTTAAACCCCTTTTTGCAGAAGAACCTTCTTCATCAGGCTTTAATGCACCAAGCTCAAGAGGAATAGTACCAACTGTTAAGAAACCAGAAGATTCAGCAAAGCCATTTACTTTCACAGGCAACGACCCTACAGTGACAATCTCAACAGGCACATCATCGGCAGCCACTGCTGCAGCACCAGTGAAGGGTTTAGACTCTGCTCCCTTTGGGTTTATAGTGAGTGAACCAATCTTCAACGAAGGCACATCTCCTTTAGCTTCAACTGCACCTTGTTTAGTTGTATCAGTTGTTTTGGTAACTGTAGGAAATATCCCAGTGAATGAGGTAACACTTTTCTTCAACGACTCAGAACCATGCTTAACTATCTTTTTATCTTTCGAAGGAAGGCAAACTATAGTTTGCTTGTTGGCACTATCCACTGGAGGCACCAGGATTGGACTCTTAAAGCTTTTAGTGAGCAGCCTGGCTTTCTCTTCCTGCAAGATTTTCTGCCGATACTCATAGTACAAAAAGTCATCAAGTAAAGAGGTCTTCACTGGGTGGGCTTTGAATATTTTGAGCATCTCCATTCCTTGCTTATGCATTACCTGTGATTCATAAAAAATATAGATATGTTAGATGCAAAGTTAGTTCACTGTCCAAATCCAGATGGCAGTTGCAATCTGAATACAATCAAGTTACCAATATCAATTCATGTTTGATCAATCAGTGGGCTGTGTGCATATTATGTTTTATACAAACTATGCAGAAGCAAGTCCAATTTCAGCACAGTATCATTATATCCTGCCTATTTGAAAATAACAAGTAGAAACCTTAGGCATACCTCCTGTGTATCCCTGCTGTTAGTCACTGGTCTATTCTCATTGTTCTCTAATATGATGGACCTAAAATGACTGTTACGAACATCTTTTATCATGTGCCACTTGACAGGGAAGCTCCCACTCCACTTATCTTGCTGCCAAAAATCCATATCCACCTGGAAGTCAACCGGGCCAATCATCTCAGCAACACCACAGAATTGTCCACTTGCATTAACCTGCATAGACAAGCAGTACATCATCAAATGGAAACATAAGAAATTACACAGAGCACTTCCCGCAACGGGTGACTAGTGACTACTAAGCTGTCAATAGGTATAGGACTCACAGAAAAGAAAAGGAAGATGGGGCAACTGCCAGGTCTTCCAGGGGTTGTTTTCTGTGTGTTGTCATAAGCAGCCTCAAGTTTCTTGTTTCCATGGGATGTAGATGACCAGACGTTGTACTTGATGCTTTTGTGCACATCATCCTCACTATACGACTTTATCACAAAAAACTTTGCTTTAACATAGTCAATTGGGAAATCATCCCTGTTGTATTGCTTAGTAGAGATAATGATGTTCCCTTCAGAATTACTACCTCCCACTTTGGTGGTATAAGCTTTAACAGAAAGTTGACTTTCTATTCTATTTGTTCTAGGTCCTCGATTCTGTTCACTCAATGTACTAGGAATGCTGTTTGCATCCCTCAGAGCTTTTCCAGCATTAATTGTTGGTCGAAGCTTATCAAGCATGGCTCCTCTGGTGGTACCTGATCCAATATCTGAGAAGCTAGCACTAACAGGAAGCTCTACCTTCAATTTGTTAGAATGAGACTGAAGTTTCCTGCCAGAAAATGTATTGGTAGGTTGAATTGAACCAACAGGATTTCTACCCTGCAAAGATAGTTAACAGGTCAATCAAAATCTACAGAAATAGTATGTGGCAAGCTTTAGAGTAAGATTAGAAAAGAGTAACACAGATCCAAACAATAGATCCCCAGTTATTAAAACATAATCCTAAAGATGAACTTGACAAGAAGAAGAACAGAGATAATGAACCTGATGACTATATGTTGAAGCCGGAGAAGAATAACTACTAGAAACACTTTCATGGACTGCAGACTGCTCACTTGGTCCATCTCCCTTGGTCAAGGAATTTGTTTGATTTGAAGCAGGTTTCAGAGAGGTTCTTGGAAAAGCTGCAGAAGTAGGAATTTGTCTCAAGGCTCTTCCATCAGGCCTGCTAGCAACTGATGCACGAAAATCCAACAATGGATCTTGAGAACTATTTGGGATCATGCCTGGTTGAATAACAATAGGAACGATTGCAGGTGAAGAAACAGGATTCTGGTAAGGAGGAATGGTGTAATATTGTTGTCCCCCTACAAATGAGCCATCACTCATCACAGAACCGGGAATATAAGAGTCGTATGGGTTGTATGAAGACTGTGCATATCCATAGCTAGGTGTGTAATATACAAAAGGCAAATTTTCAGATTGGGATTGGGCACCCTGAAACAAGGAAAGTGCAGATTAAGCAAAGTTTCAAACGATAAAAGGGAGCAACATATTTTTCAGGGATGTGTTTGAAAAGTTAGAGAAAGAGTTCACTAACTGCATATTGGATATCTGGACCATCTGTGCTAAAAAAAGAATGGTTGTCCTCCCATTCAACGGGTGTTTCAAAACCTAACCACGTTCAAATTCAATCAGCAATGTAGAATTTAGACAACATGTACATTAGACACTATAAGCACCATCCAAATTCTTAACACTTATTTCCTCAAAATTTACCTGTACAATAATATCCATAATTGGTGGCAGAAGGATAATACAATCCGTGATCTACCATGAACTCAGGGGCTCCCTCGTGATACATGGTTTCAACTTGCCCAAGAGGTGGAGTTGTCAATTGCAAGTTTGGATCAGCTCCATATGAATCTATATGTTCAAAAAAATAAAAAGAAAAAGAAAATATAACAACAACACGCTATAACTTCAAGAATAGCAAAAGACATACAAAACAATAGAAAAATGAATCATCTAATAAGAATTTCCATCCCATCATGCAATGGGAGAAAAACACAAGCAATAGTCATTAAGAACACACCAGGTAAGTTTCTGCATTTCCACCATCATAGAGGCTATACATTTCATACCAAGACCGCCACCCTGTAACAGTAAACAAGTATTATATTAAGAATCCTTTATGGTTCAGAAAAAGCCTCTCAAGGAATTTCTTAACTGCCTCCAAACAAAAACACAAAAGGAAAATTCTTTTCCTGTTGATGGGTAAAATGGAAAAAAAAAAAAAGAAAAAAAAAAAGCACTACATTCATGTCAAAAAATAAAGTATTAATTACAAATTTAAATCGAAAAAGTGTTTTACAGTCCAGACCATAAAACAAGACACCCAATTTAAATAGACGGGTAGATTAAAAGAAAAAAGCACTCTAATCCCACATAAGAAATTGGCAAAACAATTACCACAGAGACTTCAAAACAAAATCCTAGTATCACAGAAACTTACACTGTGAAGTTCTTCACGAAATTCAGAAGAAAAATTTAATAAAATAATGACACTCCACATTCTGATATTCAATTCAAGCCTAAAGCCTAACAAAATCAGCTCAGTAATACAAAATCGAAAAAAAAAAAAAAAAAAAAAAAATAATGACACTCCACATTCTGATATTCAATTCAAGCCTAAAGCCTAACAAAATCAGCTCAGTAATACAAAATCGAAAAAAAAAAAAAAAACAGTTACTTTAAATCAAATCCCAGCAGAATAGCACAAAACAGCTGGAATTAATGTCTAAACTCCAATACATCAATCAAAGCGAAACAGCTTAAGGGGAGAAGAAAGAGAAGCTAAAAAACAGGACAAGAAATAATGTTACTGTACCGGGAAACTTTAGCATCAAACCATGATCGATCAGAAAAGCTCTTCGTGAGAAAATTCCTGCAAATTGTGAAGAAAAAGAGTAAGGGTTGGTTTTGCAACCCTAACTCGAAGAAATTCGGAAGAATTGGAAAGGGCGGTTTGGCTTCTGCTGCGTATTGAAAAAGAGAAAGAACCAGAGACGGTACTTTAGCCACTAAATAATAATTTGACGATGCTAGTCGGTTCTGATTAGTTTCGCTAAATATCGATAGTGCCACTGATTCAAACGTCGTCGAAGTTAAGAGTTTTTAAAAAGTCCCATATTTATTTTTCCCTCTTTTTTTTATATAAAAAAATGAAAATTTTAGATGTAATGTGTTAAGACGTTAATTAAAATTATTAAATAGATAGGATATAACTTAAATTTTAATTAAATATTTTAATTTATATTGTTATAATTAAATATCATAATATTTTTAATCTTAAAACATCTAAATTTTTTATTTTCACTTTTTATATTATATCTAAGTTTAATTTTTAAATTTAACCCTAAATATTATTGCTTGGGGCTTAACGGCACTTTTCTCAAATTACAAGAATAAATGCATGATTTGACCTGAGGAAGTCAAATGCACTCACCCTTTCTATAAATGCATGGTTGGTGCAATTTGCCCATTATTTTTCCCTTACTAATAAATTTTTCATCTTTTTTTCTTAAACAAGTT